CTGCACAAAACAAACATAAGACAGGCGTGACAGCTGCCAGCACGGAATGGAAAGCTGAAGAAAAGCAACAGCAGCAGAACCGTGAGGATCCTGCAGCTTTCCACGCCAGGGATGTGCTGAATGACCAGCACGAGCAGATTTAAAAATCCCCCAAACATGCAGCAAATGCTTAGAACTAATATTCAGAAAGGGTGCATTCATTAAAACAAACAGGATTTTTTTTTTTAATCCTTCAATTGTTAAACACCCTATTATGCCAGCAGAGGGAAAAAACTCAAAATGCAAACAAAGAGGAAGGGGATCAGGGATGAGGACTAAAGAGGAGGAGCCATAATATTTAAGGCAACAAACAAGCAGAAATGCAATGAACAGACAGGAATACATTACAAGACACAAAGATTTGCATCCTGTCAAGAGCTCCTGAAGAGTAAAGGGAGCCTGGCCATGTCTGCAGTTCTGCCAGCAACACGAAAGTGGATCCACTGCAGGGGTAACCACGAGTCCAGACACTGCAGGAACACCAATACTGCCAGAGGGGTCTCACAGGGATTCTGGTTCAACACCCATAAAAAAAAAAAAAGGAAAACAAACCCAAAACAGGACAGCAAATCATATTGCATGAAGTTAATGCAGGACCAAGATGCCAACCAACCACAGCTTCTCTGCTTCTCTTTGAAGCTTCAAAAAGAGGAAAAGAATTGGACAAGTGGGTGCAGAGCCCAAGAAGAAGGAAGCAGATAATGTGACAGACCCAGCAAATATAGAACTTCTGAGCAGAAGCTGAGGTGCAAACCAGAAGGGCACAGTCAGTGACACTGCAGAGGGAGGCTTGGTAACACAAGGAACTCACAGAGAACCTCAGAAAGGGGGAAAGCAAGGCTGTACACAGCCTGGAGACTCTAGAAATTCTGTTCACTGCTGTCAGGTTCCTGCCCGGTCTGATTTTATTCTCTCCTATCTCCACATCTCTTCAGGAGGATAAGGGAATTCCTTGTCAGATGCTCAGTAATTTCAGTGCTCTGACCACCGACAGAGGATCCCATGCCACGAGACAGTCCTGGACTTCAGAGCACAACCTCTGTCCAGGCTGATGTCCTACATGACTCCATGCCCCACACCTTGGTACAGAACCACAGACTCACAGAGTGATTTGGGATAGAAGAAACCTTCAGAGAGCATCTAGTCCAACCTGCCTTTCATTTGTCACTAGACCAGGTTGCTCCAAGCCCCATCCCCATCCAAACTGGCCTTGAACACTTCCAAGGATGGGGCAGCCACAGCTTCTCTGGGCAACCTGTGCCAGGGCCTCACCACACTCACTCTATAAGTCCAATCCAAACCTACCCTCTGGTACACCTTATGTTCTCCTGAAAGACCATTAACAGGTCCAGGACCAGGGGAAGCAAATGGTTTTAATCCACGTTTCACATTTTCCTGGCTCACCAGTGGCACAGGAGGAGCTAGAGAATCTACAGGAAAAGCTACTCAGGTCACAAACTCAGAAATCAGGATGAAAAGCTAAGGTTTCACAAGCAATTATGAACTTGCTGCTGTTGCACTTCTGCTTTCTCAACAACACAGCTTGTCACAGTTCCCTTCTGGAGTAGCTGAAAATAAAGCAGGAAGCTACCAGTCCAGTTGTTCATATCATTCCACAGCTGGTTCATCATCCACTCCAAAAAAAGAGACTTTCACAGGCAACTGGTTTGCCATAGCCGTGCCTGAACAGGCCCTGGCTTCAATGAGCAAACACTGAGGAAGGAAAGCTAAAGAAAACAAACAAACAAAAAAAAGCAGCAGCAACCCCCCATATGACAGGCCATTATTTCTGACTTGGTAGGAAACATTTAATTCCCACGCTACAGAGGCTCACCCAGATGAGATTTATTCACTCCCATGAGTCATAGAGGTCCCTGCACGGATTAGATTATGTCAAAGCCTTTGAATTTATATTACGTCAGTGGCTAAGTAAACTACACTGACAGGAAACAATCACGGAGCAAGCAAGGAACTCACGGTCTGAACTGCGGCGCTCACAGGGATGGCACTGGCTTTTGTTACCTATGTGCGTGTGGAAATCATCTGGAATTTGGCATTAACACAAGCTAATACCTAAAGACAAAAAGCAGAGAAGGGGAAAGTAGTGGCAGCAGGTCTTTTTCACAGCAGGACACAGCTCAGAGCTCCTGTATTAAAATACTTTCCGTTTTAGACCACTGGCTTTTTATATGACACAACGCAAGACTCACTGACAACCAATTCCATTTTGGTGACATTTTTTGTTACAGTTCCACCCTCTCCTTCTCATGCCACAAGGATTACTGATGCCAGAACAGCCTGATGAGCTTAATCAGCCTTGTGCCCAAGGGAAACAACAGACCATTACCATGAGCAGCAGATACTTCCACAGGGCACCCTGGATTCACCAGCAACCCCCAGAAAAACAAGGTCTTTGGCTGGCAAGAAACAACACCCCCGGTTTATCCTCCCAGAACAAGGGGCCTCTTTCCATCTCCTTTCAGCACCAGCACACTCAACCATTCGTGTTAAATGAGATGTTAACCCTGCCAGAGACTCTGAACTTTCCAACTTCCACATCGTATTTCCCTCCATTCTCTCAGAATAACCACAGCCAAAAGCTGGTCACTTACAAACTGGGGAAAATTAAGGGGAAATAATGTAGAGAGAGAGAGGTGGTCTCTCTTGTTGGCAACCACAGATAACAGCCCCCAAGCCCCACCACGACAATTGCTTGGTTTCCTGCAGGATTGCATCCCTTTGGCTCTGGGACATCAAAGCAGGTCTTCTAGATGAAGCCTTTCAGCCCATGGAAGTAACCATGCTCTGCTGTTGTTTAGTTAGCCTCTGTGATGCTACACATAGCACTGAATAGCTGCATGTACCATGGACTTATTTTCAGGGCATAACAATGCTCTCCACACCATTCTCTTTTCCTCCCCCTCCCCAGCAGCCAATTTGCTTTTCTGGCCACTGTTGAGCTCCAAGCTGACATCTTCTAAAATTTAATCCAATTCCAAGCTCTTCCTCAGCCTAAATTTTATTTGGAAGAGAGTCACAGCACAAGGTCAGATTGAAACACAAAACACACAGATATCAGCAGTCTTGGATAATCTTTGATAAATCTTGGATAACGTGAGGCACACACAGATGGAGGACAAACATACCTGCTTTCTCAACTGCCACATGGCATCCTTGGCAGAAAAAAAAAAGATCTTCTCTAGCTATGAAAAGCACATGAGATAGAGTGAGCCCACCTACAGTCTGCCAACTTGACCTTCTCAGAGCTTGAAAAGCAAGTGGGAGAGAAGCACGCTTTTGTCTTGCTATTAAATCTTAAAATAGCAATGTGTAGGAGAATCCTACCCTCCTGCCCTGTGCACTAAGCTGAGGGGGAAGGGAAGAGTGGGGTGGAGGAAGGGTTGAAGTCAAGCTGAATTTCCTGCTGAACAGGGTCTGAGCTGACCAGAGATGCCAGGAGACAAAAGATGTCTGCCTAGAATCTCTTTTCTAACTCCAGGCTGTCTGCCATTGTATGCACAGTCTAGTTCCAGTTCACTGAATTAACACAAAAAAATGAATTGATTTCCATAATGAAAAAGCCTCTACATGGCCCCAGAGTGAGACAAGAAGAAAGGGCACAACAGCTCGGGAGGATGTAAAAAAAAATAATCAAATCACTTTTTGCCTGTTGAACTACAGTTCTGAGCTCCCAAATGAACAGTTATTTTTAGTTGATCATCTGGAAATTGAGAGGGAATACAAAGCATCAGGGTCAGCATCACTGTCTGCAGGAAGCCAGCACATAGCCTAGAGAGAGGCAGTCAGGCACCACACATCTGCATCATCAGCACTGCACAGGGACCAGCAGCATGGCTCTATTTATAACCCAGACATGTGCAGCTGTAGCCTGCAATGAAGGGCTGGGATTGCAGGCTGCCAGCCCTCAAAAACATGCTGTCTGATTTAATTAAAGAGATGGCAATGTGCACATGCACACACAGATGCATACAAGTCCTCTTCCCAGGAGAGTTACCAACAACGAGCTCGCTGTTTTGAAAACAACGCATTTCACCAAGGTTACTGTGCAGGCAGCAGGCAAATGTGTCCTCAAACAACCCCTCCACTTCCTCGCTCTGCTCTGTGACCAAATGTGACCAATAGCCAGCTCACCACTGCTCAGGTAACTACTAGCCCTTGGGTGGTTACTGGGTTTGTTTGTAGCCCTGAACAGGAAGACAAAGTCACTGTAGTATTTATATGCACAAAGAGAAAAAAATTAATTTAGTTTGTGAACAAGGTATTTGGGAGTCACACACACCTTCTGCAGCAGGACAGCTTGCTGTGCCATCAGGTTCCATTTAGAGGGGAAACCTGCTTTCAGATACAAAGCTCTGCCTGTCAGGAAGCAGTCAGAGGGAGCATTTCCTTGTTGTGGGACTAGAAATCAAAAGGCTCTATCATCTCCTCCCTGCTCCCGCTCTCACTTCCCATATTCCCTGCAAGCTGGACTCTCCTGCCCTTGAGCCAGGGAGCAACAGCAAAGGATAGGAGGAGAAGACTTGCTGCAGTCAGGCTGCAGTGTGTGTAGCACTGTTGGTACACAACGAGCAACTTGCTGACAAAATACTGGGTTACGAATGGCAGCTGCTGGGGAGGCAAAAGCAGCCACAAAAGAAGCCCAGAGATCAGGTCACAGCCTGGGCCCTGCTGTCCTCCCAACCCCTGGGAGTCTTTGGCTGCACGAGGACACCCCACAGATAGCGTGAAGCTAGTTCCCCATCTAGGGATCACCAAGCACATCCATGCTGTTCTGCCTCCACCCCAAACAAAACCAAACCTCTTTTAAAGGCCCTCGCAGGAACGCGGGAAGGGATGTTTGGGTTGTATTCCCCTGGGCTTGTTCTGACAGCCACAGCAAATACAGTCCCCAGTGTCTTCGCTCACAACCTTATGTGGCACTCATTCAAAATACAACAAACCTGTCCTGGAGGAAATGATGCTTCTGGAGTCCAAGTCGAGCTTCTTGACCAGGGTATCAGGGTCAATCTTCAGCCCAGAAAAGACATCAGAAGATGAGAAGTCCCAGTCCTTATCCAAAAGAAACATTAACCAGGAATCAGTATAAACACCACCAGGCAACATTTAGTTAAATAATCCCCCCCCCCAAAAAAAAATTAAACCTAGCACCATCCAGAAGGAGACAGTGGTGGGGAGCAGGTGCCTCTCCTGAGCTGGCAGGGGCAGGTAAGTCACCCCACTGGCCTGCCCTCCCCCCACCAGGCTCTTCCACACAGGAGGAACTTCCAAAAAGTCTCATTTTGGACCGTTCTGTTCCTAACAGATTTCTGCTTCAAGCCAACCTCGCCTCACTGAAGTACATTCAGGAGAGCTCTCCCAGGAGAGTTGCGAACAGCATCCTTAGGAATTTATTACAGGTACAGAAAAATACAGATAAGCAACAAATGAGCAGATTAGGGGATTAAAGCCTAAAGCAATGGACATTAAGCAGATTCAGTGACTACTAGCAACTCACCAGATCTTTGGCATCATGCTTTAAGCATGCAACGCCTCTAAGTCCTAAGCTCTGCAGTAGCTACTCTGGCTGGATTAAAAGAATTTATTACTTTAGCCAGCAGTATCTACCAGCACTGACACATAACTTCATAGTGGTATAAACCCAGCTGTATTTGGCACAGGCAATTCCTCCCCCCTCACAAGGAAAGCTTAGGCACATAAAAAACATTTACTGCTGTTGTGTTCTTGCTGTGAGGGGGCTGGGGAAGGCATCCAGCTTTAATCTGAAGTGTGTACTCATAACACAGCTGGGGAAACCAGACACTGTCTGCATCTCCTACATGATTGTGTGTGCAAACTGACAGCTCCTCTCCACCTGCCCTAACCTAAAATCAAAGAGAACCACTGCAAAATGAGCCAGGCAGCCCCTTCTCTCACCCCTTCTCTACCAACACTTGTTGGCAATGATCCTCACTGCTGCATCCAAGTTACCCCCACTGCAACGCAGCACAGGCACCCTGTCCCCAGCAGCAGGAGCAGCGCTGCCACCCCCCTACATCTGTCACCACCCTGCGTGGGCTCTCTGCAAGCCTGGGGATCGCAGCTGCTGCAGCGGGGCGGTGATACCCGCCCTGGGGCAGCACGCTGGGCCTCCCACGGCACACAGGCAGGGCCCGGTGCTGGAGCGCTCCCCGGGCTCCCCCGTTCGGCCTCCCGGCCCGCCGTGCCCCTATCACACGCTCCGGCGGGGGAGCGGCGGCGCGGGGCAGCAGCAGCAGCTGCCCGGCTACACCGAGCCCGCAGGAGCAGCACCAAGGGGCCGGCAGGGCTTTCCTAAGCAGGAGCAGCCCGGCCCGGCCTGCGGGGGCCCGGCCTGCGGGGACCCGGCCTGCGGGGGCCCGGCCTGCGGGGACCCGGCCTGCGCGCCCTGGGCCTGCGCGCCCCTGCCGCCCATCACCGGCGCCTCCCCGCGGCCGGGCCCGCGGGGCATCCACCGACACCGCGCCGAGGCCCTGCGCTCGGGACAGCCCCGGGAGCCGGAGGGGCCGAGCAGGGCTGCGGGACCAGCCCTTCCTGCGGGAGTGGGGACGGGGGTGTCACTGCGGCCCGCGTCTGCCCGCCCGCGGTACCTTCCCGGGGCCAGGGCCCGGATCGGGTGCGGGGAGCGGCATCGGGTCCCGGGCGGGCCAGGCCCGGGGGGCGGCGCGGTGCAGCCGCGGGCGCTTGGCCTTCCCCACCATGGCGGAGCGGAGCGCGAAGGGGCGGCCCGGCCTGTGCCGCGCCCGGGGCCGCCCCCGCCGGGGCGGGACCTTCCGGCTGCACCGCCCGGCCCTGGCACCGCCACGGGCCCGGACACTCGGGATGCCCCTCGATACCCGCCCTGCGCAGGCAGAATTCGGGAAGCGCTCCCTGCCCCTTCGTATCGCTGGGGCGGGATGGCGGCGGCTGAAGTGTCCGCGCTGTGCCGCCGGCCGCCCGCGGGTGGTTGCCGTGTGGCGAGCGGTGGGGCGGGCGGGCAGCCTGCCCGGGGCAGCTCCTGGAGACAGCCAGAGGGTGTTGAGATGCTCGCTCGGCGCGTTTAGGTTGAACCCAAACACTCTGCGGCACAGAGCTCTCGGTAGCACCAGCCAGAGACCAGGCTGCCACGGTAGGGCAGAAAACAACTCGTAAAACTTCATGCCAGAAATTATTTCTGTAGTTGAAGCAGCAGAAAATACCTGGCGAGCCTCCAGGGAGCCCGAACACCTGCCAGTCATGGGGCCGGGTGGACACCTCAACGAAGCAACTCCAGCCCCAGCTGCACCTTTCCGCACACAGAAGGGGGTGAAATGCTAAGCTGCTTCTCTTCCCTCCAAGGTGAATAAAAAGCTCCAGGCCTGGAGCCACGGTTGTTTTGATCTTAACAAACCCTGACAGGTGCTCCCTGGTTAATGCATCTTCGTTTTCCATGTTCGCTGCCCTCCCCGTCCCCCTCGGAGCTGTGTTTCCCAGGACCTGACAACCAGGCCACAGAAGTGCACAGCTGGTGACCCTCCCTGTGGGTACCAAAGAAATGTGGGGAGAGGCCCTTTGGAAGGTGCTGGGAAAGAGCATAGAATCATAGAATATCCTGAGTTGGAGGGGACCCATGAAGATCATCAAGTCCAACTCCTGGCCCTGCACAGGACACCCAAAGAATCCCACCACGTGCCCAAGAGTGTTTGTTGTCCAAACGCTTCTTGAACTCAGACAGGCTTGGTGCTGTGACCCTGAGGAGCCTGTTCCAGTGCTCAGCCACCCTCTGGGTGAAGAACCTTTTCCTAACATCCAGTCTAAACCTCCCCTGACTCAGCTCCAGCCCTTTCCTCGAGTCCTGTCACTGGTCACAGTCATACCCAGGTACCTGGTCACAATCAAGTGTACCCCTGTGCAAATACTACAAGGTTGAAAATACAAAATATTTCTGAGGGTGGAGATCCCACAGCTGCCTGAATCCTCTCTTTTAGCTGGAGTATGTGGCTGGGTACACACCTGGGAATCATGGAATTACATAATGGTTGAAAAGGACCTTAAAGATCATCTTGTTCCACTCCCCTACCACTAGACCAGGCTGCTCTGAACCCCGTCCAGCCTGACCTGGAACACTTTCAGGGATGGGGCATTTACCAGATTTAAAGTTTGTTAGGGATAGAAAGATTTAATGTTCATCAGGAATAGAAAATAACAACAGGAAAACTTCCTTACTGTAGGCTGGATGAGCATCATTTAGGAGCAAAGGCCCAAAATAACATCTTTGATCACCAAAATCAGTGACTTTGGGGAACATCCACTCTGAGAGTACCCAGCTGGATACCACTCACCCCAGCTGCTTGAGTGTATCCTGCAAAAGCCCCAGCAGTCCTCCAGACAGTGGTGAGGGGAAACACAATCCACTCTAGTAAAAATAAAAAGAGGAACGAATAAAAATAAAGGCAGCTGAAAGAAAATAGAAAGAGGAATGTTTAACAGCTTAAAATGCTTACAGACGGGCTGGAGAGCGTACACGCCGTGGCCAAGCACACATCCTCAAAGGGTGCCCACCTCCTTCAGCTGCAACACTCAAGGCTAAAGCTGCAGGAGAGCATGAGGAACAGCTGGGAGGAACTGGGATATACCAGCAAGCTTCAGCTTTGGCTACAAGGACCAATGGTACACCTGCTCTGCTCCCGCTGCTCTGACTCCAGGGGCTCCCAGCTCTCCCATCCTCTTCCCTCAACCTTTAGTCAGTTGGAACAGAGTGGTTGGACAAACCCTATGAAATCACTGAGGAGGATAGAGCAGCTCGTTAAGGGCCTCATGCAACACAAAAGCAAAATTACAGCTCGTCTCACTCAACCACACTTCCTTCCCTCAGATCTGCAACCTCCACCACCGGCAGGAAGCCCCACCAGCCTTCCCAGCTTCATCCGCCCCAGCCCACCCACTCCTGGCCTGGGAGCTGCTCTGCAGCATCCAGCTGTAACCACCCAAGCTGGGGTGAGCACCCCAGCTCCCAGGTGGCTTGTTCTCAGGCCCCATCCCCACCATATCCTGCATCAGCTGCTCCAGGGCTCCCATTCCACTGCCAGCACTACTGTGTTGCTTTCCTGCTACACCTGGCTGTGAAGAAACCAAGCCAGAGCTCTGCTGTCTTCTTTAATAAAAGCACTAACCCGTGGAGCATCCGTTAGTGCACAGAAATTTTTTGCTGGCACTGCAATCTCTTTGCTTGCTGCAAAAATAAACCCAGCTCTGTAACTGTAACACAGCAGCAGGTGAAGAGCATCAGGGTCTTATGATGCCTCAGGTCGCCCTGCCCATGGCAGGGGGTTGGAATGAGATGGTCTGTAAGGTCCCTTCCAACCCAAACCCGTCTGTGAGTCTGTGATAATGCAACATGGTGAGTCAACATCAGGTTGCTTGGAAGGAAAACCTACAAAGTAATTAGCAAAGCCTCACGTTAAAAATAAGAAATCTACAATCCTCTATGTTTTCTAAACTACTTCAATTAATAACTTTTACTGTAGTGCCTTGAAGAGGTTAAGAGAAAGTTGGCAGTAGCTGGTTCCTCTCTGCTCAGGGACATTCTGCTGCAATTCCTTTGGAAGGAGTTATTGCAGCCAGCACAAGAAAATTTGAAGGCTGCTTAAAAAAATTTCCCCATGAAGCCCTGAGCTTTGCCACAGCGAGCACAGTTGCATCCTCTACCGTGCAAGGAGACCTCGCTACCCCAGGACAAACATTTCAGAGCCTGAGGGGAGCCAGCTCCCCGTCCCCTCCACACCCAAGGGCTGTCAGTAGCTCTCAAAGGAACTAGTTTCCCCCACTGCCAGCTTTGTGTGCCCACTGGGGTCTGGGATGATCCCCAACAGCACTGTGAAAGGTGAAAAGTGGGCAGAAAGGATGGGTTTTGGGTGGGTCCCTTTCCCAGGTGCAGTGGGAGGGCTGCAAGCCCCCTGGGTAGCCCAGGGAGTTGAGCCCCAGCCCCCCAAGGCAAGATGCTGTGGGTTTGACCGGTATGAGTGGGACTGGCGGGGTTCTTGGGGGAACACGCCCTCCCACAGTTACCACTCTGACTTCCTCCTTCCTCCAGCAAGACAGAAATAGGAAGGAAAGATTGGGGTACGTTGCAGAGCTCTGGATGCCTGGCTGCTTTTCCCAACCAAGCTTGAGAGGGTGAGACCATCCTCATCCCAGCCCAAGCACGGGAAAGAGGCGAAGGCTGGATGCCAGGTGAGTACAGCATCTCTATTTTCTATGCTTCTGTTCCACCTTTCGGGGGGGGGGGGGGAAGGCAGCCAGGCAACAAAGGGGTTATGTAGCTCTGGTGTTTCCAGGGAATTGTTTTATCATTCCTGATCTAACTTTTGGCCACTCGAGTTCAGGGGGATTGGTGTGGTGTCCCTCCCGCAGGTGGGTCAGTCTGTGCAGCCTTTGCAAAGGCAACTTGCCTAATCTGTAATGGTTTTGCTTTTGGAGGTAGCATTGAGCCTGGAACTGCAGGTGGCTGTTGTGGGGAGGGTGTCAGACCCCAAAAAAAGCTTTCCTCAGCACCCTGTGGGCTCAGAAAGCAGAGCAGAGAGGGAGCAGTGTGCTCCTCGCACGCCCTTACACATGGCACTGGGGAGAATGGCACAGGCTGTGTGCCTGCCTGCAGCACCAGGGCTGGGGGCTGTGCCAGTCCCCCTCCTGGGACCCCCCTCTTCCTCGTGGGGTCTCACTCCCTGCCTGCAGGGTATGGTGGGAAAGAGGGACCTGACGTGGCGGCATAGTGTGAGTGTGGCAGGGACGGCAGCCTGGGGGGAGCTCAGCACGGTGTCACCGCCCATTACAGGGACCTTCCTGGTTGTCCCTGCACCCCTGTGGGCCTGGGGGGGTAGCTGGGAGTGGGAGCGAGAGCCTTGCTCTTCTTCTCCATATCTCTGTGTGCTGCACACATCAAATACTCCTCAGCCAAGTGACCCTGGGGAGAGCAGGTTCTTCCCGACATCTCAGTGGCTCTTGGATGCAGATGGAAGTGGGACACACCCCACATGACAGGGAAAAGCAGCCTGGCCCTCGTTTTCTATGATTTCCCAATGTCACAGCCACAGCTCCCAGCCTCCTGGCAGGTGAGAAGCAAAGATGTGAACGTGTGCAGTGACATCATGCCCTGGGGCCAGCATGGATACTGGAACTTGGCTGCTGCAAGGTGTGGGGAGGCCCTACATGGTGCTTTTTGCTATCACAGCTGTCACAGCTGTCACATCCTGCTTCACACGGCGGTTTTGCACTTTTCTGTCTCCATTCTGGTGCTGCTAGGAGTGATCTCAGTGTGCTGCAGAGCATGATGCCCCTGGACTACCCAGGGCAGGACAACCAGCTGGCAGCTCTTTCCCACCCAAGCAGGGCTTTGACCTAGGGAGACCCAGCAGCACAAATCCCCTCTTTCCCTCCCTCACAGGGCAGGGCAAGGGTCCCACAGGCGCCCAGGGATCTTGGTGCTCAGAGCCAAGGGATGCCACAGGCTAGTTAGGGACTTGGTGCACATAGGGGAGAGCTCACCCCGCAGATCTGTCCTCTGCAGGCACTGGAGGCTGCTGGAAGGAAAGATATATAAAATATATTCATATTTCCTATAATAGAACATGGGAATGTATATATTCTTTTTATATATTAAAAATAACATTCATATATTTTTATTTTTTATATTTGCCCTGTAATTTATATGTATTATATATACACGTATTATATATATATATATATAAAAATATATAAAAATATATATACACACACACTGCATGTGATACTCTGCATGGATGGGGAAGTCCTGTGTATGGCTGCCTGCCTTGGTGGGATTTA